GGGGGTTCGGCGAATGCGGCGCGGATGCGCGCGCGCGCCTGCCTCCGGGTGGATCTGGAGTTCTCTGGATTATTAACCGCCTCCTTTTGACTGGTTTGCGATGCAGGCTACGTGACCACGGACGAGCGGCGCCGACAGGTGTGGCACTGGTTGTTTCCGCCTTTATTGCGGTTGGAGCGCGGCCGGTGGGCGATTCGTGCTGATTTTTTCTTATTTTGTATGGATTTAGGAGGTCGTCTTTCATTCATTCGATCCCGTGGAGCCGATTGGTGGCGGTGGTGGCGGTGGCGCTGTCGATCCAGTCCCCGTCAAAGTAGCGGTACAGGTTGGATGTGCTGCCATACCCCTTTTATCCACGATGTCGACTCTTTTGTAGTAGTAGATTTGTATTGTTCCGTGATGGCGACCTTCGTGATGTCTAGTCATCATCGTTTATGGCGCTTCGTGGTGTGAAGATTCTACTCGGAATTAAGCATATGACGTTCATGGAATGGCAAACTTTTTTTTGGTGTAGTGTCTGTTGTGTGTTAGGCTGTTAGCTTTGTTGAGATACCGTTCTCTTCTTATAATCTTTAGCACCAGGGGGAATGTATTATACTCGATTTTCACTTTGTTTCATGTTCATGGAGTATGAAGGATAACAAAGTATTTCAACAGTGCAGTTCAAGAATGGTCAAATTTGCATCTGCGATACCTCACACCTTCTTTTTCCTTCTCAGGATCCACCCAGGAAGATTTCGAATGGCAGCAGTGGGGTGCCGCCGCCGCAGCATATGCAAATTGATCGCCCCCCTTTGGCTGTCAGTGTTAAACCAAAAGGTACCGCATAGTAACAGAAATAACCCGGTGCCCAGTTAGTTTTGTATTTTTGTCTATGCTTTTGAGATAGGAGTGAATCAGTGAAAGTGTTGCTAGTGCTAGAAAATCATTTACTGAATGTAAGTATGCCTATGCAATTGCAAAGAAACATGGTATACTTATTAGCAAAACCCTGCTGTTTGTGCCTTTGAGGTCTACTCGAGGTAAGTGTACATCACGAATATACCACGTGGCATGATTTAAACCAGTGCTCTTAGGCTGATAATGTGATATGCCCTAAGACTTGCATGTGCTATCTCGGTTTTTCTTTGGTCTCTACCTCTAGCTTCCCTTAAAATTCCTAGTTTACTTTACATAGAAGAAACAATTTATTCTACCCAAATATTTCCAAACAGACTATAACGTGCATGTGCTATCTCGATTTCTCTTTGGCCTCTCACTCTTGCTTCCCTCAAAATTCCTAGCTCACTTTACATACTATTCCCTCTGTTCCTAAATATAAGTCTTCTTAGAGATTTCAATGCGGGCTACATACTGAGCAAAATGAGTGAATCTGCACTCTAAAATATGTCTATGCATTCGTATGTAGTTCTTATTGAAATCTCTAAGAAGACTTATATTTAGGAACGGAGGAAGTAGAAGCAATTTATTCTACCCAAATATTTCCAAACAGACTATGACGTGCATGTGCTATCTCGGGTTTCTTTGACCTCTCACTCTTGTAGTTTACTTTAGATATGAGAAGCAATTTATTCTACCCAAACATTTCCAAACAAACCAGTGTTGATGTTTCGAGAACAACCTCCCTTTCTTTGGATGAGCTGTCTATATGTTTTGTTTTACGTGGAAGCTATTTGTAGGTTGCAGTCCTTTCTTTATTGGTCTTTTATCCTGTATGGTGCATCTGTTTGTTTAGCTTTACATCTGACTCAGTAATTGACGACATATGCAGTTCTTCCGGTACCAAGAACTGAAACGCCAAAGGTTGTGAAGGGATCAACTGAAAGAACAATTGTACGCCTTCTGCATTCAAATATGTACTGTATTTTTCAGAACT